AGTTCCTGACTTACAAGTGCATGAAGCAGTTGCATATGCACAATCTGACAAGCTGCCTACCCCGGAAGATGTGGCCGGGTGTGACGAAATCTGCCAAAGACTTATGTTTTTGTTAGAAGATTGGAAAATAGCTGACAGTGTGCCATTGGCAGGGCCGATGAATCCTCCAAGGATACCTACAATTAGTATGGCTGCTGATGAAGAAGGTAGTTTGAGTGTTGGAAAAAAAGAAGTGGAAGGTAAAGGGTGTAGACAGAAGCGCCCGGCCCAGACATTGTTAAGTCCATTTACTGATCCTTTGAGGAAGAAGAGGAGAGTGAGTGTGTCGGATGCGCCTGCAACCCCGCCATGTTTTGATCCATCAAAACCGCTGCCCATTGAAGATGTGAAGGCAGTAATAGATTTTTGCACTGCCTGGAAAAACGATATCAGGTTCGGATTCTTGACCTTCGAAATCCAATCGTCATCGTATTAATATGCATGTGTATATTTGTCATTAACAAAGTCAGAATTATGAGATGAGTACAAACATAACCGTCGCAAGTTTTCCTTTTCTAGTGTGCAGGTGCAGCTTGAAGCATTTTCCGTGGGCGCTGATTTTTTCTACAAACTCATCGATGAAACGGCATGGATTAGCTCAGGGGTAAGAATACACAAATCTCTACTTTATTATGATAATTCAATTGTTTTCTCTCCTTTTTTAAGTGTACAATTGTCTGAAAATGTGCTGCTATTATATGTCAACTTTCAGCACCTGTAAATGGCAACCTTTCTTATCCGGAAAAGGCAACTCTCTCATCCGTTGCTATTTGGAACCGACTGGATAACGACAGATTATGCCTTGCAGGTACACTTGTTACCATGTTACATTCACTGCTTCATTTGCTTTCGGTTGTCATTATGTAATATGGTTTCATTTCAATGTTTGCAGCAATTTCTAGAGCCGTTAAAAGCGACTGGCAAGACACGTGGATCGAAGAAGGCAGCTACTTCAAACTCCAGTGACCTTCCAGCCAACAAGCTGAAGAATGTACATCACTTTGTGCACGGTACATGGCAACACGGGTATGCCCAAGCTTGGAAAAAAGTCCGCAAAGTCTATTTTCCATATAATCTTCGAGAGTCCCATTGGGTTGCAATCGAAATTGATTTCGTCCGACATACTGCAAGTGTATGACTCAGTTGAATATACCAAATCTTCGAAGCTGGTTACACTTCTGTAACCTGTTAGCGATACGCTTGCACGAGTGCTGTACAATATGAAGTTTTATGAAGATTCTGAGGTTGAAGAGGTTAAGCAAACGGGGCTACAGATGTCAAGGTTTACGCCATTCTCAGTTTGCATCATTGCAGGTGTGCCACAACAACGAGATGAATAAGAATTGTGAATTTAGTTAATTTTATCCAAATTTTACATAAATGCAGTTGTAATTTCCCAACTTATTGGCCTCACAGTACGTCTTGCGGAATCATGACCATTCAATTCATCGAGCATCTCAGTGCTGGGCTTTCGGTGCATAAAATTGACCCGTCGAAGATCAAATATTACCGACTGACGCTTGCAATAGAGGGTTTAAGGGGGGAGGCATATTTATGAGGTAAATGTCTTAATGTGTGTGAATTGACCTCAGTGAGGACTTATGACTTGGGAATTCACTTTGCTCATTATTTATGTCAAGAACTCCTTTATATGAAGATGTACATGTGGAAGCTTTGCTGGGGCTACTTTGGCTCATAATCCTGCCTTTTTGCTAGAGCTAGTTGGTTTTGTTAGTATTGTGAGGTGTAATATTGTACAATCTAGAAGCAGTGGCTAATTGCCTTACATGGCACACATACTGTTTTGATTTTGAAGGTTAACTATTTTGGACACCTCCATATGTAAATATAGTTGCTGTTTATGGATGCTTTTGTAGTTGCTCTTTATGGATGCTGTTATAGTTGCTGTTAATGGATGCTTTTATAGTTGCTGGTTTTGGATGCTTTTTATAGTTGCTGTTTATGGATGCTTAAGAATGGTTCATTCTCTGACTTGATCGTAATACTTCAGGTACTGTTTTCATATTTTTTTACTCTGCGTTGCTAGTGGAACTCGCACAACATTTTTATTTGGTGTTATTTGTGTATGAGTTTTTAATTTTTGTTATGCATTTGGTCAACTAGGGTTTTTATCAGTTAGTTTATTTATTTAGGAGCTTGTGTCTTGTTGCTGAAAAAATTGATGGATTTGTGTTTATTTCTGTTTTGCTTGCTCATTCATTATGAGCTACAGAACCAACCTGTATTGAGCTTGCATTGGCAGAAGAAAACATGAGGGGTATTTGCTTTGAAGTTTGTGATGTGGTTCTTCATGCTGATGCCATCCACAGAGGAGGTGGTCAGGTCATTCCCACTTCTGGGACGCTCATCTATGCTTCCTAGCTCACTGCCAAGCCAAGGCTCCTTGAACCTGTATATCTTGTTGAAATCCAAGCTCCAGAGCAGACTCTTAGTGGCATCTACGGTGTTCTTTATTACTTTGCTTGTTTTCTTTTGGCTTGTCATATCTGTGTGCAAGATAGCTGCATTTGGCACTATGAACAGACTCGGTGGCAGTTACAAATTAACAGAGGTCTTAATTCTGGAACTCCCATTCATAAACTCTATCTATGTGTGTCATATGTGTGTGCCAGTTGTTTTTGCAGGTCCGTCTCAACCAAGTGTTGATTGCAATATTCTAAAGAAGATGACCATACACTGTTATTTGATGTAGGCATACGTATGAGATGGCTTAGCTTGAATTGGTTTGGTTGTTCCAAGTTGTATGTACACAATCTCAGAGTCAGTACCGAGTTGGTTTACATTTCATGTATTTCTCCGTGGTTTTTCCCCCCCAATATTATGATTATGGAGATGAAGTAAATATTAATGTGGACTTTATAGCATGTTTAGTTTCTTTTCTGGCCTTAATTCTGTGAGAGATGCCCTTATAATGTCAAACAAACGGTTTTGACATACATGTTTTGAAATAATTGAAATCACACCGTTTATTATTATTATTATTATTTTTGTTTCCTCCTCGGAGAAGAAGCAAAGTGGTTACAAATATGAAAGATTCCGAATCAGTTTTCTTCTGTCAAATTCCGCATGGAGCTAGAGTTCTACGCTACCATCCGATGAGACTTGACAAAAAATTTGTTTTTATCTTCTTACATTTGTCATAGATAAGACTAAATGTAACCACTAATGACTGATCCCTTTATTTGTTATATTTTATTTAATCCAATTGCCTGTGCATCACATGGAAATCTTAGGATTTCTTCACATCAAACTGCCTCTTAAGAGTCATGAGAACATGAAGAGGAAGAAGAGAAAACAGAAGGACCTAGCTGGAGCTTACAAGTAATTAAACTAAAGTTCATTTAGTTAAAGTCGGGGGAAGAAAACATGTTTATGGCACCATTCCAAATTGATTGCCCCCTCGAATTGCACAATGGCAATTTGGTCTCCTCCGACGACCTTAAAGCAGGCAAAACACTGGTGTTGGAAGGACATGTAAAAGGGTTATTGTGCATTCCATTGGCCAAGCTTGAATGGATTTTCTTTTCTATTGTATTTGAACGAAGTGGAGACTGTTATTAGACCAAATGCCATCGACATACGATGTAATAGCAATATGAGGCCAATATACTTCACTGTAGAGGCAATATTAGAGCAATATAAGTACAAAACCATAGCCATATTATCACAATATACTTCATATAGGGTGGCAATATACATACACTATGTATACAATACAAAGGCAATATTAAGCAATATACATGCAATATAACAGCAATATTAAGTGAATCTACAAACAATACACACACATCCATTACAGACTACATTTTACACATGCAAACCAAATCGCCTCCGAACCTTAACAATCCTATGTATTCCGTGAAGGAAAAATGAAGGCACCAAAAGATCCATGTACTCGGTTGAGATGAACTGCAGCAGCACTCACCCTTACTACAGGTCCATGAAAAGATCCATGTCTTTGTGCTTTCTCCTCGCTGCATGCACGAGGCTATGATGAGCCATTCCCTCAGCACCCATATTTAGCACCTGCCAGACACCAGCTACATCAATTTCACTTCAATTGTAGTCTGGTGAGATGACCGAAGCATAATCTCGAAACATTTCAAAGCCGTTGTTGAAACATTCAACCATTTCATGGTTATATTCTTCAGATTTTGTGAATTTTTCGACAGCATTTTTCTTTCTCCCTTCCAATTTCAACTTCAACGACTCTAACTCTTTGCTCCGACTGTTTGCTTTTAGAGTTTGCTTCACTTCTCCAGCATATGCTTTGTTCAACTTGTTGGCCAAGTTTCCCATAACTTGGCCATGAATATCACATTTAGTCTCCCACCAAT